TCTCTATTGTCCATGGTCTAAGACAGTAGATACAGACACCACATAATCACTTTGAATTTTTCTAAGTTTTTGTTTAAATTTCAAGAAAGATTTTCTTGGTTCTCGAAGGTCTGTTATCACCAACGTAAAATAAACGTTTAATTCCTTAAAATTTGATTTTTTTAGGTTCAAAATATTCGCTCTCTTTGAGTATGCAAGCTGAATAAGGTGGAGATTTTGCATATTTAATTTAATTTTTCAATTTTTTTTCTTACGTCCAAGTTTGTATCAAACAGTCTTGTTTTAGTTTGTAATACTATCATTATTTTTTTATACAAATTTTTAGTAATCAAAAGTTAATTTTACGTTGGTGGTGATTGACATTCAAAACTTAAGTACATATGTTTACAGCCCATTAGGATGTAAGCGCGTACACCATATATCACAGTATTTACAGAACAAAAAAAATCTTGTTTAAATTTTAACCAAGTACTTTAAAAATTTCTAAAAGTTTAAATTCTAACTGATTTTCTACTTTGTTTGCTAAGATTTCAATTAAAAAAATGAATCTTACAGGTTCTTTTAAATGCTTTTTTCCATTGATATAATTAAATTTACAATAGAATTAATATTTTATGAGATACGGGGGCTTTATAGGAAAAAGTTGTGAAAGATTGAAATATCTCTAATACGCTTGTGAAAAATATATAAACAATAGATTCCCGCTAATCCGAAGTGATTGAGACCGAGTCCTGATCGGATTAGCAAAAGATTAGCCTGATTGGGATTAGCGTTAGCCGAATAATGCAGAAGCAAGGAGTAAAAAAGGTGATATGCACACGTGTAAAATGGGCTGGACGTCTTAAAATATCAGGACAGGAGTGATAATGGAGCTAAGTCGTTTCGGATCATTTTGGTCGGCCTATTCTCGCAGTTCGGGCTTGTCGGTGCGTTCAGCTTCTCGCCATCTTCAGTTTTTTAAAAATAATTTTTGTTAAAACCCAACAATGAAAATGACAGCTTGGCTCATGAACCCGTAGTTTGGCCCTTTCCGAACGTGTCTGACAGGCGACGATGATAGGCGGACCAAAACTTTCGGAAAGGTCCTAACTACAGGTTCATCGTCACGCACCTAACATTTCACAGTAGAAGTTGGCCGTTGTGCCAAAATAACTGACCTAGTCACTACACTATATTTTCGTATAAAACGATTTCCTCTTCTCTTACTGAAACATGTTCGGATTAGACAGATATTCGGATTAGCATTGCGGATTAGCGGGACTCAACTGTATTCTAACATAAAATTAAAAAGTAGCAGTCCTTCAAGAAAATTTGATATGACTAAAAATTTTCATATTGCTCATAAACACACCAAATATTTTTACTTTATTGTTTTTTCTTTTTTCGAACTTTCCTTGAAGATAATAATCATCTTTGCGGGCCTTCCGGCAGTTGTAGATTGTTCTTTCCGACAATACAACATATATCTCAAGTTCCGACGTGAGGCAACTAGTGAGCCTTGTTGGCCCATCTGCGAAAATAACAGTCAGATATTAACTGCGTTATATTCTTTAATTCCAGTCGGCGCGTCTCTTTTGTTTGATTTTTGACATGTATCCGTGAAGGAATACAATTTGCCAAAGCCAGTGGTGAAAGTTTATAAATAACGGATGAGGACGAATAAACCCATGTCCGATTCAACGACCATTCAAATCCTTGAATTTTAAGAAGTAGTCTTAAAGTTCTATCACGTTGGGGACAATAATATTTCACTCGACCTTTAGAGAATATTGAGAGAATTATGTCGTTTCGCATGTGAATTTCCTACGGCCCCTTTATAATTGTTTATCTTTTTCTTTTTTATCTTCTTCCTTTTGACTAATTTCTCCGGTTCAGTTGTGTCGATAAGCCAAAAATCGGTCACGATGTCCTGTTGCACTTTTTGCATTCTCTCATAGCCAATGGGCAATAGGCAAGATGACCTCCTTACGTGATCAGGCAGCTTCTGATTGCTATCTCTTATTGCTTCAACGATTTGCTGCATCATTCACGCCTCACGGATTTAATGTGATTAGATTCTAATCTAATTTTGATTTAGGAACGAAGCGAAAACAACAAACCCAATCGTTACCATTTAAAGAAACAAGTTTGTGACTATATGGAGTATGCGTTGGCAAATCGCTGGTTAACGAATTAACCCAGCCATAATTAGAGTATTTAGTACCAAATGCCAGGCTGTTCAAAGCGCGATAAATACCATCAGTTTTGATCATTTAATAAAAAAATCACTATTTTTATTTAAATTATAAACTCATTTCATCTCGGTATCGTTTAATCAAGGTTAAGGCTACGGCTAAATGAGTCAGCCTATTTACGTACCTTACGCACCGCGACCAATATGGTAAGGCTTTCTATCAGATCTATCAGATTTTATCAGATTGGTTGTTTTCTTAAGGAGAATCCCGTTTGTACCCTTCAGGCCTTGGCTTTTCCTCTTCCAGGAATGGGAATCAATATAGATGTTTCGCTGTTCCTTTTTCTGACAATTCTGCACCTCATTTCTGCTGCTACGAGTCTATATATATGCCTACTGTTAGCAGTACTACTATTCTAGTCCTAACACCTCCTAGGTTTAGTAGTTCAGTAGTTAGTTTCTACGATGGCCCTTTAATGAACCTAATGCTCAGGAACACATTTAACAGAAGATTTATTCTCAATCAATTGCCTGATAGGTCTACTTTTTGGAAATTAGGTATGCCGCAAAACGTAGGCCGATAGGTGTTAGATGAGCTTCATCGAACTTTATTTGGCCATATCGGCCACATCGTTGCCCTTCTGCCCTGTGCACCCTGGTACCCAACAAGCATAATTTTGTTGTGTTGAATGTCTCAGAGCTCCTTGATGCAATCCCAGACGACTCTGGACCTACCGACGAAGAGCTTTTAGCCGGTCTGCCCGAGTAGATGGTTATTCTTTTGCTGGTTCTTCCTAGCTCTTTGATTTCCTGGCACAGCGTTTAATATCCAGAGTCTCCTTCTGAAAGACATTGCCTGAGCCCAAAACTTAATAATTAAATTCTAGTCCTTTTTTCGTAGATACCACCTGCATACTAGGTCTTAGAACCATCTGTATACCAGATATGGTTGACATTAACTAGAATCCATTCCAGTATGTTCTATCGTCTATGGTAATTTGAAATTTCTTATCAAATTTGAATTTTGGAATCAAGCGTCAACAGAAATCCTCAGAACCTTGTGTTCCTGCAATACCTCCTGAAGCTTTACTTGCTCCTTTTTATACAAGTAGGCCATTGGAGCATGTTACTGCATTATCCTGCGATGAATATATAAATGGTAGATTTAGGAGGACATCCAGGCCGTTCTCGTTCTCATCGTCTCCGGCCCCGCAGACATTCCCCGGCAAGCTAGTCTCTCAACAGTATCGAGGATCCTGACCGCCCTCAGCTTTAATATCTTCGTCCACCAAACCAGCGATCAGTAGGTTATCATGAGTCTAACAACCGGTGTGTACCATATTGATGATTTACTTGTGATGATTTTCCCACAAGTGTGTTTAGTAAAAGTGCTTTAATCCTCCTAGTTTCCTTTTTTTTATCAAGTATTTTAGTCATAAAAAATAATTTCCTTGTCTAAAATTTCTATTGCGTCAACAATTTTCCTTGATTCCCTGACTCTTTGACATTTTCGATAATTTAATATCTTAAACTTTTGTATTCGCGCAGTGTTAAATAATCGTAAAATGTAAAGGTGAGCTTTACAATTTTCCAATACTTTGTTCATTTCCCAATATAGATCTTTTTCTTGATTTGCCCCTCCTATTTGACCTTTTGTTGCAACATAATATTGGTGGAATAGAATCTCCTGTCTGCCCTAAGTTTCTTTTTCACAGATGACATAATTTTCACGGCAGTAATGAAATAACCAGTCCGCATGGGGAACGGAAAGTCATCTGTTCAGTCTCTAATTCATCCATCATTGGGTTGTGAGATACTATAATTGACTCTTACTCTTTACCTGTTTATTTTTATGGTGCAGAAAGTGTAAAACGAACCAGTATGCGAGAATGAAAGAGAAGGGTGAAAGTTGCAGAATAAAACTCCATTGCTGTTAACCTATTTTATAATTATTAAAGAAAAATAAATTGTTTTGGATCTTTACTATCAAATCCAACTATTTCTGGTATATCTACATAAATAATCTTACCCTCATCTTTCATTTTTCATAACCTCATGTCTCGGTTTTCCAAATTGACGAATACAGAATCTTCTATAAAAACTTTTTTTTGTGCTGTTATGTGATTAACTGTTGATGACAGGTTTGTAGAAATTAATCATCTGCAGTGAAGTCTATCACTGTTGGTGTGATTTAAACAGTCATTGAATTCAAATTACTTACAAAACGTGAGGCACAAAAGAATTCAAGACCTGAACAGCAATCCCCACATCGTGTGAAAAGTCAAAAGTTGTATAAATTATCTAGAAACAACCCACCTCTGCTTACCCCACGTTTATCTTTATTTTCAAGCAGACTGTAAATAAAGGCTGAATTCATTGGGTAAAAATAGTAATACTTATTAATAATAACAACAACAATAGGCAGACGACAATGTTTTGTTTTCAATTTTATTTTCTACTCCAACACCGTTGTTCTGTCAAAGACATCCGCTATTAAGTATTGGTATCTTCATACAATAGAATAGATTCGTGCATGGATGATCAAGGCCAACGAAAAGAAATCTTACGACATAATAAAATGAAAAACTCTACGACACGTCTATTTTAATATATTCTCACGAAAAACAACACAGCCACTTAGGATTGAACTCAGACACAGGAGGCATAGCAAAGAGACGTTTATGACACAAAGAATTCAGTCTTTTGTAAGCACTCCCTGGCTATATGGAACATTTAACCTCGTGCGATAAATTTATGAATTTTATAATAAGTAGGTAGTAGGTTTGCGAGTAACAATGAAACCTAATTTCTTTTTTATTTGTTGTAGATTGCTTCACCGAGTGCGACGGAGGTGCCGTTAAAGAACAGCATCGTTGTGGGGAAAGTGATTGAACCGATACAGCAGCAGTCGAAGATGACGGCGCATACACTCGCTCTGAGGACGTTGAACTCCAAGCCCAAATCGACATCGCCTCCAAAAATCTACGACATCGACATCACCAGCCCGACGCCGTTATTGATGGGCCATTCGGTCCAAAGCCTGTCAAAAGCGTCCAACATCAGCATCGAGACGTTAGCCGCTGCCCTGAAGTTACGGGAACAGCAGCTACTCGCATCCCTTACATCCACGACGACTACCTCTTCGACGACGACGACGACGACGACTACCCCTAGACCTACCAGACCGGCCACCGTGCGGCCCAGATACCCCCTCGTTGGACCAAACAGGGTCATGAACGCCCCGAAGGAATATTACCCGGTCAGCTACGACAAAAACTACGATGATAACTTCACATCTAAGGTCGAGCTGCCAGACACGTCCTTCAGTTGCGGCGACCAAAAGCATTTCCCAGGGCTCTACGCAGACGAGGATTTAGGTTGCATGGTAAGTCTTTGTTTCTGTTCATTTGGGTACGTCGAACCGGTAGAAAAGAACACAAAAACCCGTTCCTACATCAAAGGGGAGATAAATATTTAAACTAGCCGACGACACTTAGTCAAATCGGTGTGATGACACAAATTTCGAAATGGTTTGAGTGTGCAACCGTCGGTGGATTTAACCAGTATTCCTTTTCCAATTGGGAATCCGGGCCGGGAAAGAATGTTAGTTGTAAGAAAGTGGGTTCGTGTACGTGGTCCAGCGTAGGCCAAAACCACTGACAAAATGACCGTGAGATGTCAATCACTTTGGTCACGGAAAAGTGTATCCTGTTTACATTGATTTCCTTTTCCTTCGATAAGAAAAACATACTAAAACATGATAACAATTAATATTAAAGTTATAATAGCACAATAAGAGCAAAATTATTAGAAGAATACTGAAGTCTCTATGATAAACTATTTTCATTTCTTAACTTTAATTACATTGTTATTTTTAAAATAACATAAGTGAGTATTGTACAAATTTACAATATGATTTTATGATATGTCTTCTTGATTTCTGCGTGATGATGAGCCTGTCGGCTGCTCGTTTCCGATGATTTTGCTCTCCTTATGCTCGCTGGTTTGGTCTTAAAGGCGTCATGAAGTAAGGCGTTAAAAACAGTCTTAAACTTAACTTTAAATACTTCATAGTTGTCATATGCATCACTATACGAAAAAGAAATTGAAAAATGTTTGTAGGTCAAGGTATATCCAATAATAAGCATGATTGATTTATGACTATTAAATCGAGAGATTTCTCCATGGGGTCTGCGGGATAATGAACCTGGTGCTTTACTCATTTCCGATCATTTTGGCCGGACTATCCTAGATGGATTGATCTGCCAGACGCGTTTCGGCCATGTTCAGAGCCAGCATTTAGCAAAGTGTATTAATGTATTAATCCACAATAGACATGGTTTAAAGAAAAACAGGAAACAGTACAGACCATACAATGAAAAACGTACTAAAGATCACAGTAACAGACACTGACTTGACTCTTCAAAGTCATTGAAGATGGTGGAAGATCAAGAAGGTGCAATCAGTAAGAAAAAGAAGTTTTAGTAATAGTTTCTGCGTTAAATATCGTTTAAACCAGATGGTTTGGACGTTATGTATTGTAACGTCGTAAATTTACTGCACCAAGTCATGGGTGATGGGATTATACCCCAATACAAAAGGTTTCACTCCAGAGAGGAGAGGCAAAGGGTTACCCAAATGATGATCCTCTCAGCCGGTTCACAACCGCTTTTATCAGTTACAAATTCGGTATGACTCACGTAGTCAGGAGAACCTGATCGACGTTCAAGGAGACTCCCCTGTATTGAAACTCCCAAAAGTCACAGTGGTCTTGCCACCTTGTGGGCTGCTGATGATGATGATGAAAGGATACTAGGAAGCCGGTTTTTGTTTTGCTCAAGCCCTGAGGTCTTTTGTTTATTGTACTTTTACTACTAGTTCCTTGGTTCAGTTCAATAGATTTGATGCTTCTATTAGAAACAGTAGGGCATTGACCGTCTTTTATCAGGTCTTGGTACTTCTCTTGGTCGGATACGTTTCCATTAAAGGATTTTTTAGCATTCACGTTAATATGGACAGTTTCTTCCTCCGCATAACTACGAACGGCTCATCATTGTTTCCTATTGTGTAGGTGTTTTCTCAGACACCAGAGACCGGTATATGGCTTTTTTAATCATGGGTTTACTGTTTACTGACATCTCTTGAGTTCCTCCCATTCTAAGATGGAGGCGTTTATGTGGATATTGTGACTCCAGTTCTAAATAAATGTCGATTAACGGTCACTAATCACCACACATATGTGGATATTGTTATATTAAGGATTGATGCTGGGACCGTAGGTCTTTTAGATCCACCTCTGGCCAGTTGGACTGCTTACTCATTACCCAGAGTTGAGGGGACTGGCTTCCAAGGTTGTTTTGTGTTCAGGTTTTGGATATTTTGGATACGTTCACTGACTATTTTGGGTGTGACTTTTTTACGTGCTAATACTTTTAGGGCTACTTGGCTGTCTGTTCTAATGAGTTTTTTGTCAGCACAACCTTTTTTAGATTAAGAAATTCAGGGTGATTTGGCATACTACGCCCTTTAATAGTTATGCTATTATAACATCTACATCCATAATCTATTTTTCTACGGAACGAGCATTTCAGCTTGAAAGATCGAGGTGGACTTACTTTCCTAATGAGTTTAATGTTGGCTGAACATAATTTGTTATAGTACATAAATAATATAACTTTTTTGATTGCAAACATTGTTTTGAAATTTTCCTAAGCAATGCGTTTTACCGAAAATTCGAAAATTGTATTATTTCATTATGGAATTATTATTTAAAAAAATACTATTAATTATAAAAAAACTATCTGAATAGTTGTGAAAAATAACATTATAGTTAAATAAATTGTGAAATTACATTGTGCCGTCTGAAAGTAGATGGCATGTTTTGATAAACCAGCCTGAAAACAGACGTTGAGCCGCAAACGTCGAAAAACCCATAGTTAGGTTGATTAAATAAATCAATTTCGATCGAACCGCTGTCAAATAAATATATTACGAAAATACGACCGATTTGAGCTGTTTGAGGTTGAATAGGTTCACATTCCTTTGGTTTAAATTGCCCTTTTAGATCTGAAAAAAATTTTTAACTAAGCATTAATTTAATTTAAGATCTCTTTGCAATAACAGGTTTAAAAAGTAGACTACTTACGATTTTCTATACTGTTTTCATGCTACTAACGGGCGAATTGATTGGAAATCGTTTAAAAAAATCTTATGGGTTTTATAAGTTAAGAGTTGAAGGTTGGAATATTATTTTCTCAATACGTTCCTTTATTTTCTTTATCCTGTGAAAGAAAGTTTCATCAAACGTTGAAAGATCGCCAGTTGTCCTTTGCGCTATCGCCGAAATAAAAGTAGAGCGTGAGTTTCTTTTTACCCTTCAAATATTTCTCTCATTATTACCATTATAAATTAATCATTATTACAGCGAAAATCGTTCTTCTTGCTATTATATTATGCTAATTGATTATATCCATTCTCAGAGTTTCTAATCTTCTACAATGGAATTTAGCAATTAACAATATCATCACAATCAACACGTAGTTCGGTATGCTGAAGACGAGTCGTGAGGACATCTGTCGCGGGGCATCCCTGTCCGGTTCATCATGCCCAAATCTTGCCAAACGTGTATGTGGGTCGTCTTGGATAAACAAACGCCGACATACAAATGCCACGATTTTGGAATTTCGACATTTGCTATCTGTCATCGTAATTACAAATCTTGATTCGATGCCAAACAAGCCGTTTAGGCTTTAGAAAGCTTTTTTTGAATTATTTTCTTTTCAGTAGTTGATGCTATCTTTAACATTTCATCACTATAATGACCTATTCCAAAAGACATTCAGTAACTTCAAAGCCAATGTTAGCAAAATTGGACTAGGAAAAAATTGGATTTTTTAACTGTGTATTTATATTTAAACAATATTTAGAAAATTTTTGATTTTGGTTATTTAGCGAGTATTTAAAAAGTACCTTTATGTATGCGAAGTTCATCCGCCTATTTTCACTGTCTTATCAGATGAATTTTGATTCTGAACAATCTCACTAAAAACTCATTTTTGATTTTTGGCCATGTTTTGGTTATTTTGGTTGCATATTCTCGATGTTTTGTCTCTGCCAGACGCGTTTATAATTTTCTCTATTTTTATTGGTCCGTTTGGTAATTTAAACACACTGAGTACAGTCAAGTCCCGTTCGTGAAAGGTGAAAGGGTCTCACGGTGTCTTTGAAGAAATAAGTCTGTGTTTGTTATTGTGATCGGTACTTTTTCTTTGTATGCTCTATGATTTTTGACATAACAAATAATTTCTTTCAATTAATAAATCTTTACGTAAGGTATTGGTTGAAATGAAAAAGCTAGTGTCATGAGCGGGATTCGAACCCACGACCTTCGGCTAGATACGCCGCTACTCTACCATATCGTGACTTCGATCCACTCGGACACTAACTTTCCATCTCAACCCAACCTTTTGAATCTTCCCTCCTTTTGAAAAGTTTTCTCAGCAGGGCTTTACTTTTGGGTTCTTTAGTGCTGTGAAAGATTCTTTATTGATTTGTTTAGAGTAGTACATGCTCAAATCCTGTTAAAAGACGATATTTTGCTATTGTGATGATAGCTTTAGATATATGTTGGACTAAAATTCCTCAAAAAAATTGTTTATGCTAGAATTCTTAACTTACTTTTTTATCTCAACCAAAACCTTATTTAATTGAAAAGAATTTATTTGGTCAAGCGGACCACGAAACCTAATAAATATTAAAAATTATGCCGAAGTAGCTGATATTTTTCTTTGTAATTCAGCTTTTTTTATAATGGATAAACGTCTCCTAATCTATCAGGTCATTGAAAATATTGTACGTTATAGCGGTGAGCAAGGTCGAATTAATCCGGGGAGCACGTAGCGTCTCCGGGTCCGTTATGTCATTTCATTCATGAGACGGATGTCTAGGTCAAAATGAAAACAAGGTCGTCCCGGATGTCGCGGGCTTTTATAAGAAAAAGACTGAAGTTCTGAGGACGCCGATTTCACGCGGTATTCACAAATTGTCATCGGTCGAATGGACCGGCACTCCTTCCCGAGCGGATATCAGGCTATCAGAAGTTTCAAAGTCGATTGTTAGAGAAGAAAAAAGAAAAGAAACCAGAAAAATCAATCAAAGAATCGATAATTGACTTCTTCAGAGGCGTGTAACCGTTTCGGCCACGTTAAACCCGACGATTCCACATGCTTTCTCCACATTCCGTCCTTGACCCGAAAAGGATCGGAGGCTGTCTCTGAAAAAAAATAAGCCGTCAAAAGGAAATTGTACAATGAACGGTGCATGAATTCGTGTTAATTAACGTTCGGTTTTGGTTGGATTTTTATCCGAAGGCCGAGAAAGTCCCTT